TGTAGAATAAATCAAAAACTCACGGCAGCTAACTCAAGACAAGCAAACCAAATAACACAGCAAGCAAGTAAAAACTCACAGACACGGAAGAGAATAGAAGGAAGAAGACTCAAGCTGGAAACTCAGAGAGAATATGGAAGAAAGGCTTAACCCGTCTGATGAGTTCACATTCAATAATAATAGTATTTTTACTACAACATTCTCATTACAAAACTAGAGACGTCTCTTTTAGAGACAAGCTTTTAGTCAAAAGAGAAAAGTTCTATTGGGACAACAACCGACAGCATGGGTAGAATAACAGTAGCTCATTGAGCCAATAAACAAAATATTCCCCCCGACAGCATGCTCTTACAAAAGTAGCTTTGGATTCCTGCTTGGTTTAACTTTCAACATACTTGCCCCACGTGCTTGCCCAGGCAACCGCCATGAAGCAAGAAGAAAAGGTTCTCAAGATTTATACACGTCATATCTTGTCATGGGAGGACGTCTTTGAGGATGGCAACACTGAATGGGGATCCATAAACCTGGAGCACCCGGCCACGTTTGAGACAATGGCGCTGGAGCCAGATCTCAAGAGAACCATTGTAGAGGATTTGGAGAGGTTTGTGAGTAGGAGGGAGTTTTACAAGAAGGTGGGCAAGGCTTGGAAAAGAGGCTACTTGCTGTATGGCCCCCCAGGCACGGGAAAATCCAGCCTGATTGCGGCCATGGCTAATTTTCTCAAGTTTGATGTGTTTGATTTGGAGCTTGCTAGCATTCGCAGTGACTCTCATTTGAAGAGGGTTTTGCTGTCTACCACAAACCGTTCCATTTTGGTCATTGAGGACATTGACTGCTGTAAGGTGGATGTTCAAAAACGGAAACATGATTCGGATTCTGATTCTGATTCTGATTCGGATTCGGATTTGGAAACGGAGAAGAAGCCCAAACCTAATACTAAGACAAGGGTTAGTATACTTTTTATTTGTTTGTTATATATTTTGGTGTTATAGATTCAATCAATATGTTGCATGATGCAGGTGACGCTCTCGGGCTTGTTGAACTTCATTGATGGTTTGTGGTCAAGCTGCGGTGATGAGAGAATTATTGTCTTCACCACCAACCGCAAGGAGAAGCTTGACCCTGCATTGCTACGTCCTGGCCGAATGGACCTCCACATCCACTTGTCGTATTGCACGACAAGTGGGTTCAGGATCTTAGCCTCTAACTACCTCGGAATTCATGACGACAACCGCCCTCGCCTCTGTGGTGAAGTGGAAGGGTTGATAAAGAGCACAGAGGTGACACCTGCAGAGGTTGCGGAGGAGCTCATGAAGAGTGATGATGCTGATGTTGCTCTTCAGGGACTTGTCAATTTCATCATAAAGAAGAAGATTGAGACTGAGAGGGACATGAAGAAATTGAAAACTAAGAAGAAACGACGTCGTAGAAGACGGATCAGAAACTTGTTCAGCTTCCATCTTTGGTGATTTTGACTTTCCAACATATGACTTTGTGTGTGTGCGTTTGGGACTTTGCTTATTTTTTTAACAAAAATTTGTTATGAATGTTGGGTTTTGTTTTTGTAATTTGTATCTGAATGGTCTAATGAATTTTGGAACTGGGGAAATGGGCTTTTGTCAAATTCAGAGGAAAGCAGCAGGGTGAGAGAAATGTGCTTTGAGCAACTACAGTCTCCCCTCTCTCTCTCTCTCTCTCTCTCTCTCTCTCTCTCTCTAGATGTGGTTCCAACTCACAAATCCAATCTCTCCCCTGCAGCAATACAGTCAAACAATGTCTTGATGCATTCAAAATATGTGGACCAAAAATATCATGCCTTTTTGTGTGTGGGGGAAATGCAGTTGGTATGCAAGCCTTTGCTATATAAGCATATGAGCTTAATTACTGACAACCCGTTGCCAATTCTTCTTTTAGCACCAAAATGGGTGCATAGCTGCTCTCTGAAACTCTGCAACTCTCTGAAACAGAGATAGGGACATCAAACAAACTTTAATGTCGCTAATTCATAAATAAAATTACACAACATCAATACTTTTTCTTAGCCAACCTCCTCTGCCAAAATTAGATAAACCCCTCTTTTAGATCATCTTAATTAGCTTTCAAGCTCTCTCTTATGATATCTTATCTGATGTAACCTACTTGCTGAACTTGATTTTATGAACTCTAAGATTGAAAACAATGGAAAGTTATATCAACGTCACATAGAAAAAGAAAAATTACTATACATTAATTTATGTTGGTTCTTAGGCCTAGCTAGCAAGCAATCCGGGTCAAAGTTCACAGCAAGAATGAGCTCCATTAAAGTTTGAGAAAACCAAATCCAGGAAATGTCCAAGACTGGGCCAGACTTTACAGTCCTCTCTCTCTCTCTCTCTCTGTGTAATGAGGGAACTTGCTGCAGCAGAGTCAAACCTCTAACATAGTGTCTTCATGCAATTCAAACCATGGTATGCTTGTACAGCAAGTCTTTTGCTATATATGTGCAGATGAACTTAATTACTAAAAACCAATTACCAATTCTTCTTCTAGCAACAAAACGAGTACATATAACTGCTCTCTGAAACAGATAGATTCTTGCAAAATAAAACAAACTAATTTAATGAACATACAGTCCACCAAAAATGACTCTTAAGGCATGCATACATTGTGCACTGTAAAAAATCGTTTTTTTATGGCGCGCATATTCAACGCAAGCCGTGAAGAGTGATGATGCTCTTCAAGGACTCGTCAATTTTCTCAAACGTAAGAATGTTGAGAGCAACAAAGTGGAGGATGAATTCATTGAAGGGACTGAGAAAGCAAAGAGGCAGAAAATTGAGAGAATATATCTGTGTCACATACAGGAAGAAAATTTAATATTACATTAATTTATGTTGGTGCTTAGGCCTAACTAGCAATCAATCCGGGTCAAAGTTTGAGAAACTCCAATTGGTGTGGTCCAACTCACAACTCCAATCTCTCTCCCTAATGAGGAAACTTGCAGCAGCAGAGTCAAACCTCTATAATATTGTCTTCATGCAATTCAAATTATATATCATGTTTTTTCTATTTTTCAGGAAACGCAGATTGTATGCTCAAATTCTTCTTTTAGCAACAAAATGGGTAGATATAACTGCTCTCTGAAACTCTGCGACTCTCCGAAACAGAGAGGTTCTTGGAAATCAACAAACTAATATAATGTTGTTCATATAATTTCCCTGCTGCTGCATATCATTCACAAATTCATCTCAACGCACCAAATTGAAAATTCTCTCAACAATCTCAGAGAAATGACAACAACAACAACAGCATCCTCTATGTTCTCTGCATATGCCTCCTTTGCAGGATCCATGATGCTGGTCCGTTCCATGGCCAACCAGCTCATCCCAGACCCCATCCGCTCGTACCTCTACTCAAAGCTTAATTACCTTTTTACCCCCCTCTCCTCCAACCTCACCATGATCATCGACGAGCTCTCCGGGGCCGCCCGCAACCAGGTCTACGACGCGGCTGAGGTCTACCTCAAAACCATCCCCATCAGCCCTTCCACCGAGCGCCTCCGAGTCAGAAAAACAAGCCGGCAAAAGAGCATCACCATCGCCATGCACAAAGACGAGCAACTCTCCGACACCTTCCACAATGTCAAGCTGACATGGCACTTCAAGTCCACCGAAGCCACGAACGGCGGCAACGGGAGAAACAAGAAGTCTGCGGAAAAGCGTCATTTTGAGCTGAGTTTTCACAAGAAACACAAAGACAAAGTCATCGACTCATACCTGCCCCACGTGCTTGCTCGGGCAGATGCCATCAAAGAAGAACAAAAAGTTGTGAAGCTTTACAGCCGTAGCCTGTGTTCGTACGATGATGACATGACTCTGATCAGTAGCTGGGGCTCGGCAAATCTGGAGCACCCGTCTACTTTCGAGACGATGGCTCTGGACCCGGAGATGAAGAAAATGATTATGGAGGATTTGGAGAGGTTTGTGAGGAGGAGGGAGTTTTATAACAAGGCAGGCAAGGCTTGGAAGAGAGGCTACTTGTTGTATGGCCCTCCTGGCACTGGCAAGTCAAGCTTGATTGCGGCCATGGCTAATTATCTCAAGTTCGACGTGTATGATTTGGAGCTGGCTAGTATTTACAGCAACCATGAACTGAGGAGGGTTTTGTTGTCCACTACAAATCGTTCAATTTTGGTGATAGAGGATATTGATTGCACTGTGGATTTGAAGAACCGCAAGTTGAAGGACAAAGACTATTCTCAACTACCTAACAAGGCCAGTCATCTCTCATCACTAACTTTTCATAAATTTTCTTAATCTAATTTTCAGTCAACATTTAAGTCAACCTTCGATTCAATTAATATGTTATTATCCTTGATTTATTTTAGGTTAGATGATCTAACTTTATAATTAACATGGTGACCAAAGCGTTTTTCATGTTTTAATGATCAAAACTATGTTGCAATGCAATTGACATGGTCGGTGTTATATATATAACAAATTGGGTATCGCAGTTGACACTCTCTGGCCTACTCAACTTCATAGATGGATTGTGGTCAAGCTGTGGCGATGAGAGAATCATTGTGTTCACTACAAACCACAAGGATCAGCTCGACCCTGCATTGCTGCGTTCTGGTCGAATGGACGTCCACATTCACCTCTCATACTGCACCACAAGTGGGTTCAGGATCTTGGCCTCTAACTACCTTGGCATCCATGGTGGCGGCAACGACCCTCATCCGCTTTGCAGCGAAATTGAAGGGTTGATAGAGAGCGCAGAGGTGACCCCTGCAGAGGTTGCCGAGGAGCTCATGAAGAGTGATGACGCTGATGGTGCTCTTCAAGGACTTGTCAATTTTCTGAAACGTAAGAAGGTTGAGAGTAACAAAACCGAGGATAAGAGTGAAGGGTCGACTGAGAAAGCAAAGAGGCAGAAAACTGATGAGGGTGAAGAAACAGAGTAAATTGCTGGACTTGGGTTTCTGATCAACTCAAACAATGAAAATATAGGGAGACTAGATGAGTAAAGTTTGAATTGCCGTCCACTTCTTTGTAGCTCTTTTGTTTTGTTTGAGTTTTTGTTTTATTTAATAAATTAGGTACTTACTTTTGAATATCTTGTTCGAAATATTTTTTTCACTCTTCATATTAGTACTACACCCCCATTTACTTTTTTTACCTATATATTTTTACCTGTATACTTTTTTGGGAATAAAAATAATTTGTATTAGGTAGATATTATCATTGTTTGTTTAGCTATAATATTTTTATATGTATTAGGTTATTTATTTTTGGTTGAAATGATTTTATGATGCTCAAATCTTGGAGCACCGCCATTAAGTATATAAACCCAGAAAGAACAGGTTCAAAAAATAAGTGTCCAAGAATAGGTTCCAAAATTCAAAGCAATTAAATATAAATGTTAAAAATAAGGGATTTGACAAGTAAAATAGATGGTAAGTATGATGAGGGTAAGTATGAACCAACACAGAGAAACTTATTGTTGGACTCTAGAGCGAAACAAGAGAGTATGAAGCTAATGGGGTCAAGTTAGAAACCCCTAGGCACTTGTGTGTGTGAGTAAATTCCTCTGCCTCTTCCTACCTTTGACAATAAAAAAACCACCTAAACTTTATAGAGTGTTGCAATGTACAATTTATGTTTAATTTTGTTAAATTTTCCATTAAATTTAAGGGCATTTCTGTCAATTTCCTATATAAAAAAAAAACTTAGGGATACTTTTAAAACAAACAAAATTATAAATATTAAAAAAAAGAAAAAAACTTAACCTAATTTATCCCGCGACTTCCCCACCCCTTCCAACACCAATTCTCATTCTGCCCAGTAGCCCCTCCCCCACTCTCTGCAACACTCCACTTCATAATATTTCTCCCCCAGACTCTCTCCACCAAATCCAAACAAATTTGGTGTTTGTTGAAGAATTGATCCCAAAATTGATTTGGGGATCATAGAGGATTTATTTGGAGCACATTTCATTACTTTATTTATCGATATAACCAAAGTGATTACATCATAATCAGAGAGGATAATAGGACAACACCTGACATGACACCAAACAAAACTAGGATTATACTTAACATCCAGATTTCTTTTCCTAACAAAAAGACAATCTCAAAGGGGATCGCTATAGCTCATGTTAGATGCATGAGTTGTCACTTTCATCATTCACTTGAGATGATCCATTTTCCTGCCTTTTTTCTGCTTACATTTCTGTCTTTTCAATATTATTAGTCCCTCGACAACTCTTTCGAGAGCAGCATCCTCGTCCTCGTCCTCGTCCTCGTCCCCATCATTTTTCTTCAGTAGTTCCTCACAAATCTCAGCAGGGGTAACCTTGACAACTCTTTCAAGAACAGCATCATCATCGTCATCCTTGTGGTTTGTTGTGAACACAATAATTCTTTCATCACCGCAACTTGACCACAAACCATCCATGAAGTTTAGTAGGCCCGAGAGTGTGAACTGCAAATGTTAACATAACACAAAATAAAAAAATTATCAATTACCTAATTGAGAGATGCACTTAACCTCATATATGTATTTTTCCTAAAAATAAAAATTCACAAACAAACTGAAGATTTCTCAATTCAATTCACTATAAGCAATAACTTACAGAAAAAGTAAGTGAGGAATTGACAGACTAATGAACTGATTTTAGGAAAATAAACTAGCCTAGCAACTTGGAATCGATACTAAGTGCTGGCAGGACAATAAACTTAAAAGATAATTTAGGAGTTGTCAACTTGGTATCTTAATACAAGAGAGATTAGTTTAATTAAACGAAATCAAGTGTTGATCGAGTGAGGTGGCGTTGATTGTGGAAGTATATATATGCTTTTTAGGTTGTGATGAGGTTGAACAACCATGTCTCAAACTCCTACTTGAAAATCAACAATTCTCAATCCCATTTTCCCTTGAACAACCATGTCTCAAGCTCAACCAAATCTAAAAATGTTTGCAAACTGATATGGTATTTCATAAATACATTAATGGGACAACTGATAAGGAATGGAATATATTTGCATTGGTTGATTAAGGATGTAAGAAAAAAGTAGAACTGAGAGGGGAAAGTGAAACTTATTACGTTACTCGGGTTTTGTCACTTTGTTCATTTTCTCTGCACACCATTGGATCACGTTTGATCAGAGTAAGACTGCCAAAATAAAGAAAAAGAGCAAGACTTGTGCACAAGAATTAAATGCAAGCTTTGGTTTGGTTCAAAAGGCAGAGGTATAGTTAAGAGGTTCAGAAAGATCATTTGGTATGGATTTCGTTTCAGAAAATGCAACACGGTAATTATGCTCACAATCACGTGTCAACCCCAAAAAGGGACCCTAAGTCAACGAGACTTGTTAGAAGAAGTTGTATAAGAACAGAAATTTCCATCAAATGCTGGTGGTCGCTTCTCTTTGCCTTCCTTGTTGACCAAAAGTCAAGGTCTCTGTCTGCACGTCTTTTTCCACATAATTTCACTACTCTGGTGGGTACGCTATAATTAAGAAAATAAAAAAGGGAAGAGTCTGAATATAACCATACATTACTTCATTATCAGATGGGACATATGACACCAGCTTATTCTACTGCCCTAGCTCATGCTAGGTGGACGAGTTGTCACCGTCATCATCATTAACATTGAGATCCTTCTTGAGTTTCTGGTTTATCAATATTATTAGTCTCTTCAAGCTTCTTGAGTTTAAGAAAGTTGACAAGTCCAGCAAGAGCAGCATCAGCATCATCGTCGTCAACATCATCATCTCTCTTCAACAGTTGCTCACAGACCTCAGCAGGGGTGACCTCTGTGCTCTCTAGCAAGCCTGCGATTTCTCCGTGAAGGCGATGATGATTCAAGTCTTGAATGCCAAGGTAGTTGGAGGCCAAGACCTTAAACGCATGTGGAGTGCAATAGGACATGTGAATGTGGACGTCCATTCGACCAGGACGCAACAGTGCAGGCTCAAGCCGATCCTTGTGATTTGTTGTGAACACAATAATTCTCTCGTCACCGCAGCTTGACCATAGACCATCCATGAAGTTTAGCAGGCCTGAGAGTGTGAACTGCAAATATCAACAGTTAAGTGAATGCCAAAAAAAAAAAATAGAAAATTTGGCATAAGTCCAATTATGAGGAGAGACTTTGGGTGCAATCCATGCAGAAATTGTTGTTGATCCAAGTCCTTTGACTTTTGCGCCACATAAGATTGCATGCCTCTTTAAATTTATTGATATTTACTTTTTTTTATTTTTTATTTTTTGTTCCAATTATGCACCTAAAACATAAATAAGGTAAATTATGAATTCCTAAAACTGGTAAGTTATTGATTTGTAGGATATTAATTATCATATTTGATTTGAATTTAATTGCAAATCTATTTATTGAATTCTGAAATTTTCCCAAGGTATACCGACATCAAAATTTGTAATAAGAGTTCATAAAAACTTCATACCTTAACAATAGGTAAGGTACCTATGCATACACCTCGTATGCAGTATGCAGGTAATTAAACTCATAAATTACCTCTGGTCCAGGTAATTAAATCCATAAATTACCTCTAGTCTAGGTAGTTATACTCTCTAGCCCAGCTAATTGAACTCATATAATATCTTGGTATGGATCTTTAAACTCAACTGAGATAAAAATTCATGGAAGACATGTAAGTATGTATATAAATATGAACCTCCAGAAAAAACTGCTTAAGAAAACTCAAGGAAAAAACACTTACCTGTAAGGCAGGTACATACCTATAAGGCAGGTACATATATACATGTATGTATTAACATTATTTACCTGTATATCAGGTACATAATTTAATGTGAGTGCTTGTCTGATCGATTGGTATAATATGTGAGTCTTTACTTTTTATTGATTAAATTGTATTTTATTTATATATTAGGAATATTATCAAGGAAAAAAAATTCAAAATTCAAAATTTGGAATTCAATTTCAAGGAAATAATGCATTAAATTTAGATTTTCAATGTGTTTTCCTTATTTACCTTAAAGGGTAAAATCGACACAACAAAAAAGTAATAAATGCCAAAGGACCTACATTTAAAACCAAAAACACGAGGACTAGACCCAATGACAGCTAATCGTTTTGGACCTAGATCTAAGAACCCCAAAAAAAATCTACATTAAAAAGAAAGAGTATGTACTAACCGTGGGCTCCTCCGATTTCCGGTTTTGCATGTCATGGACGGTGCAATCAATATCCTCAATCACCAAAATAGAACGATTTTTAGTGGACAGCAACACTCTCTTCAACTGAGAGTCACTGCAAATACCGTTGAGCTCCAATTCATACACATCAAACTTGAGATGATTAGCCATGGCTGCAATCAAGCTCGACTTACCAGTGCCGGGAGGGCCATACAACAAGTAGCCTCTTTTCCAGGCCTTCCCCACCTTCTTATAAAACTCCCTCCTCCTCACAAACCTGTCCAAGTCCTTGAACCTTTGTCTTCAGGTCGGGCTCCATGGCGATCGTCTCGAACGTGGCTGGGTGCTCCAGATCCACTCGTGATGGTGAGTTAACGCTACGAAGTTTGAGAATCTTTTCCTCTTTTTTAATGGCTTCAGCCCGAGTAACCACATGGAGCAAGTAGGAGGTCAGGACTTTGTCTTTGTGTTTCTTGTGGAAGGTTAGCTCGAAGCGACGTGTTACCTGGCCGGTCGGGAATGTTTGGACCACGTAGAGCCAGTTGAGGTTAATGTCCTCAAAGGTGTCGGCGATCTGCTCACCGCTGTCGATGGCAAGCTTGACGGTTTCTTGGCGCGGCGTTTTGCTGACTTGGATGGTTCGGGTGGAGGGATTGATCAAGTCAATGGTGGGGAGGTAGAGTTGGGCCGCTTCGTAGACTTGGTTGGGTGGGGCGTTGGTCTGGTGGATGATGAGAGTAAGGTCATGGCATTGGCGAGGATGAGGGGAGAAAAGTGTAGAAAGGTAACTGAGGGCAGTAGAAATGAAGAGCATGAGTTGCTCCACGATGAAAATCATTATGGATAGATATGCTGCAAGCAAGGGAAAGGAAGGAAGGCAGTCAAGGTTGAGAGAACAAGGAGAGGATATATATATATATATAGTACTAGAAATGAAGAGCATGAGTTGCTCCACGATGAAAATCATTATGGATAGATATGCTGCAAGCAAGGGAAAGGAAGGAAGGCAGTCAAGGTTGAGAGAACAAGGAGAGGATATATATATATATATAGTACTCAAATAAAAATTATTGGAGGGACATCCTTTAGTGTCCATTACGAATTTATTTTCAACCATCCAAGCAATTTATTTTTCAAGTCTACATTCATAGATCATTCTTACAAAAAATTAGATGAATTGGAAACCGTTTCGATATCCAATTGTGTCCTACAAAATCAATAAACATAGTGCTTCAAGAAATTACTAAAATTTCAATAATTCAATTAAGTGGTCAAATGATATCTGATTCAAGTGATTTTTTGTAGAGATGATCTTTGAATGAGTACCTACAAAATAGACCATTAGAATTAGTGGAATATAATACGGAGTGAGTCCCTCAAATAAGTTAATTTAAAAGATCTCTCAATAAAAGCCCTCTGTATATTATATATATAATTGAGTTGGTGCTTAAGAAGTTGCTTAGGAGTTTCATGTAGTCGTTTTGTTGACCGAAGTCTCTCCTTTTTCTCTTTGCAATCTGAGTAGGATATGATGTTTCTTTTCCATCACTAGTCTTATCTGTAGCGTCCTAGTCAAATATTCCCTTCCTTCCGGCACTTAGAAAAAAAATTAAGGTTACCTAAAATACCGAGTATGGTTATATATGATACGTATTATAATATAAGTAGATATTTCATCATTTTCGTTCATATTAACATTCGTTTAATATACTTATTGTAACAAGTATGGTCCCAATAATTGAGTAAGGTTTGGATGATTAATTATTGAGTCTATATACAAAGCATGATAATTGAAAATTTCTCCCCATATACAAATGCTTCTTTTTCACTTTTGTAAAAAGCTCTTTTTTTTGGGTCAAATTGTATAAAGCATCATGGAAAAAAATGGATACAACAAGCCATTAAACTTATCAAACATAATGCTAATGGCCTGTTGAAAAGTAAGTGCACACCAACTTTTTTCTAATTGCCAAAGTTGATGAGACAACACTAATGCCTTTTTTTGTGGGCAAAGCACGCCTGGTATGTGTTGTCCTGTTTTTTTTACTAGTGTAAGCAGAAAACTATTATTCAATATGATATATGTAGTGGCAATCAACTATTTTTTATTGACCATGCATGCTTGATTTCCTAGTAGTTTCTCTCTGTTTTCACAGAGAGGGAGAGCCAGCTTTCAACTTTTTGCTAAAAGATATGTATATTGGGGTTGATACTTACTCGGGAAGGAAGGTCATATAGCAAGAGCGAGGAAGAAGCCTACTGCATGCACACCATCCATGTTTGATTTGATGGATTTGATGCTTTCAATCATTTACTTTAGACAGCAATATGTTGTTAATTTGACCAATCACAAGCAAGCATCCAACGTTATTGACTCGGAAAAGCATGATATATATAAATTTCTCCAAAAAATTCAAGCCCTATGAAGACGCGATATATATATAAAGGGGAATACTAGCAACTTTCTCTCCAACCTTCTCAGGTTGCTAGTATTCCCAATCATTCAATGAAACCAAAGCTAACAGTTAGTTTTTCTTCATGTGGAAATTTTTACATTTCTCACTTCTTCACGTGCACACTGTCTTTCCTTAATTGGTCTGTCAATTTTCTATTATGTCTGAACTTATTGATGTGTATGAGTTCCTATCGTGTATTGGGAGAACAAACAAAAAGGAAGATAGATTAGTCAATGAAATAATGTATGTAATTGCCCTTCTTTCTTTATGTAATTTTCATATTAAATGATGAAGAAAATTTCAGAGGAAGACAGATTTAGTCAATGAAATAATGAATGGAATTTCTGTTCTTTCTTTATGTAATTTTCATATTAAAGGACGAAGAAAGTTCTAGAGGAAGACAGATTAGTCAATGAAATAATGTATGGAATTTCCGCTCTTTCTTTATGTAATTTTCATACTAAACGACGAAGGTTGCTAGCATTCCCTTGATTATATTCAGACTCTTCCTTTTTTTTCTTTCTTAATTATAGCGTACCTACCAAAGTAGAGAAATTATGTGGAAAAAGATATGCAAACAGAGACCTTGACTTTTGGTCAACAAGGAAGGCAAAGAGAAGCGACCACCAGCATTTGATGGAAATTTCTGTTCTTATACAACTTCTTCTAACAAGTCTCGTTGACTTAGGGTCCCTTTTTGGGGTTGACATGTAATTGTGAGCATAATTACCATGTTGCATTTTCTGAAACGAAATCCATACCAAATGATATTTCTGAAACTCTTAACTATACCTCTGCCTTTTGAACCAAACCAAAGCTTGCATTTAATTGTTTTGCAGAAGTCTTGACAATCTTCGCAATCTTGCTCTGATCAAACATGATCCAATGGTGTGCAGAGAAAATTAACAAAAACATCCCTAAGTTTTTTTTTTGTTAAAATAATAAATTTATAATTTTGTTAGTTTTAAAAACATCCCTAAGTTTTTTAGTTATAGAAAATTAACAAAAATGCCCTTAAACTTAACGGAAAATTTAACAGAATTAAACATAGGTGGTACATTGCAACACTCTATAAAGTTCATGTGATTTTGTTGTCATCAAAGGTAGGAAGGGAGGGGAATTTACTCACACACACAAGTACCTAGAGGTTTCGAACCTGAGATCATTGGTCTTAGATCAAACATACTTTTCCACTATGGTATGACCCATTAGCTTCATACTCTCATGTTTCACTCTAGAGTGCAAGTGGCTATTTTTGAAATGAAATAATTACTTTCTTAATTATATCATAGTTTACTTACCAAAGGGGAGAAGATTTATATTTTTTGTTGTACGTCTTCATAGGGTTTGAATTTTGGTGCAACCCGAAGCTTTTTATTGTGTTGTTGCATGTGAATGATTGGAAAAGAATGGCAACTGTGTGCAAATTGCTCAAGTTAAGGTCAATCCGGTATGACTGAAAACATCAAATCCATCAAATTAATCATTGTCTGCACTAGGTTTCTTCCTCGCTTTTGCTACCTTCCCAAGTATCAACCCAATAATCTTCTGAGCAAAAAAATTGAACGCATCCATCCATGCATGTGCTGGTCTCTATGAAAACAGAGAGAAACTACCATTGAAAAAGCAATAACAATCTATTCAAACAACTCACCGAACCCAACTCCTACGTTCAACTTTACATGATGATGAATCATGATAGGAGAAAAAGAGTCGAGCATTTCCCCACTATCAGTCCTGATTCCAGAGACATGGAAAAACAAAACCACGTACAGTAAAAAAAAACAGAGAGAGAAACAAAACGACAATAACCTACACAAAACACCAGTGGAAAAAAGAGAGTAAAAAAAGAACAAAACGACAATAACCTACACAAAACACAATGCACAGGGTTTCACTAGTGGTCTACAAGTAGACTGTAGACTTCTTTGTCGATCTTGCGATGTGCAATAGTGGCTGTGGTTACTAGTACCGTATATGAACTTGCCCCCCCAGGTACTATTATATATCCCCAAATTTAATTAAAAAAATCCCCCTACAAGAACATTTCCTTCTTCTTCTTCTTCGTCTCCTTCTCAACCCCTGCCTCCATATCTGCCATGAATTTCATCATGGAGCAACTGGTGCTTCTCATTTCCACTGCCCTCAATTACCTTGCCACCCTTTTCTCCCTTCGCCGTTATCATCATGACCTTACTTTGATCATCCGCGAGGAGAACTGGCCACCCAACCAAGTCTACGACGCCGCCCACCTTTACCTCCCAACCATTGACTTGATCAATCCCTCCACTCGGACCATCCGAGTCACCAAAACACCGCGGCAAGAAGCCGTCAAGCTCGCCACTGAAAGCGGTGAACAAGTCGCCGACGCCTTTGAGGGCATTAACCTGAACTGGCGTTACGTGGTCGAAAAACATCCGAGCGGCTGTGTTGAACATCGCTTTGAGCTGACGTTTCAAAAGGAACACAAAGACAAAGTCATGACCTCCTACTTGGCCTATGTTGTTCGTCGCGCCGAAGCCATTAAACAAGAGAGCAAGATTATCAACCTCAGCAACGTTTACTCAGACAGCGAAGTCGAGTTCGAGCACCCGGCTACGTTCGAGACCATCGCCATGGAGCCCGGCCTAAAGCAAAAGATTATAAAGGATTTGGAGAGGTTTGTGAGCAGGAGGGAGTTTTATAAGAAGGTGGGCAAGGCTTGGAAAAGAGGCTACTTGTTGTATGGCCCTCCTGGCACTGGCAAATCCAGCTTGATTGCAGCCATGGCTAATTATCTCAAGTTTGATGTGTTTGAATTGGAGCTTGATAGTATTGAAAGTGACAGTGAGTTGAAGAGCGCGTTGCTGTCCACTACAAATCGTTCCATTTTGGTGATTGAGGATATTGATTGCTCCGTCAATGATGAGGAACGCAGGGTCAGTTTTTTTGTGAATTTTTATTTTTTGAAAAAACACATATATGAGGTTAAGTGCATCTCTTATTTAGGTATTTGATAATTTTTTGAATTTGTGTTATGTTGACATTTTCAGTACACACTCTCGGGCCTACTAAACTTCATGGATGGTCTGTGGTCAAGTTGTGGTGACGAGAGAATTATCGTTCGGGCCTACTAAACTTCATGGATGGTCTGTGGTCAAGTTGTGGTGACGAGAGAATTATCGTGTTCACAACAAACCACAAGGATCGGCTTGAGCCTGCATTGCTGCGTCCTGGCCGAATGGACGTCCACATTCACATGTCCTATTGCACTCCGCATGCGTTTAAGGTTTTGGCCTCCAACTACCTTGGTGTTGAGGACTTGGACCGTGATCCCCTTTATGGAGAAATCGCGGGATTGCTAGAGAGCACAGAGGTCGCCCCTGCTGAGGTTTGTGAGGAGCTATTGGAGAGAGATGATGATGTTGATGCTGCTCTTGAAGGAGTTGTCAAATTTCTCAAACTCAAGAAGCTTGAAGGGGATAATAATAATATTGATAAACCAGAATTTCAAGTAGGAAAAAGGCAGGATATGGATGTCAGTGTTAATGGTGACGACAGTGAGAGCTCAAGCACCTAAAGTAATCGGCCATAGCTATAGCTAGCTAGGCAGTAGAATAAGTTGCATCTTCCGATGGCCTAGCTAGTCCCTTTGGCTTAGTTAGTCCCTTTGGCTTTAAGTACTTTTGTTTTTGGTTTTGTTTGGTGTTATGTTTCTCCTTTCTGTTTGAAAGCTATAAAATGTCAAGAACTAACTCAAAATAGTGGGTGAATAACATGAAAAATTATGTATAAAAATGAACCGAACACTATCCTTGCGGGGTGCTATGCTATCCTTGTTATGGTTATTATATGTGATAGTCTTTTGAACTTTTTTTTAGTTTAATGTTATGACATTGGATGTCAATCCAATTAACAGCCTAACAAATAAATAAATAAAAATATGAAAGAAGTATGATTCAAATATAAAATTTGATGATAAAAAAACTTTCAGTCTTGATCTCTTGGACCACAGGAGTCCAAGAAATTGTGGTCACCTACCGTTGGATATTAATCCAATGATTCAAAAAAGTTTCTTAAAAGGAGTGCAAGAGTGAGTGAACCGTTGAATTTACATCCAATGGTGAGTGACCACAAATCTCTTGAACCCCTGTGGTCTAAGAGATCAGGACTAAAAAAACTTTAATATATAAAGGCCCAACCCTACTGTCTCTATGTGTCTCTTCAGATTCAAAACACATGGATATTGGGCGTAGGTGGTGTAGAGAAGAGAGGGATGCGCTGGTTTTAAAAAAAATTATTTATGAAGTTTTCTGTCACGCCCCGGACCCGGGGGTAGGTGGAAATCCAGCGCCCGGTGCGTGAGAAAATAATAAATATAAAGAAATAAAAGAAAAGTCGAAGACATAAAATAAACTTTTCTTATAAAAATAGATTCCAAAATCTTACAACTTTACAAGAAATAAATAAAACTCTATCACCCTCATCTAATTCATCCTCAACTGGTTTAGTCTTTGTCTTGTTCACTAATTCATCTGAAAAATTAGACAGAGTGAGGGATGAGCAACCACCGCTCAGTAGGGACATGAGACCTTACCACAGTAGATTGATATAACTAAATTAAGTGACATGCAATCACACAACGAAATATCATATAATTAAGAATAATGCATGAATGAATGCTCTTCATCTAATCCCGTTAATTCATATAACTGGACAAGCAGATCTGCACGTCCCATACCATGCTTATACCACTTGGTCCCGAATGCCCATTTATATGAACTAACACCCATTTCAA